GCAGTGACAGCACGATGGCTGTGTGGTCAGCAAGAGCCCAGAGTCCAAACAACCAGACATTTACAGGGGACTGTGGCCAGTGCTGATGGCATTTAAGACGACTGGAGTCTTAAAAATACAGTCTGCAGAGTCCTTCCATTGTCAAGCACTGGCTCACCCAGAAAGAGGGCTGGAGAAAGTACATCAGAGGTTTGAGCATTTTATTTCAAATATGACATCAACCTACTGCACATCTTTGAAAAATGCTGCTAACTGACACTAACAGCTTTAGATTGTGAAAGGATGAAAAGGTCTGTACAAGACAATGTTTGCTTCATTATCTTCTTCCATGTATTACCAGTATAATAGGAAATGCTGCAGTGGTAGCTGAGAAATGAAAAACAGGGCTTCAAAAAGGAACAGAAAAATAGAACAATCGTGGTGTCTTGGTGAGTTAGGGAGTGGAGTTAGGGATTATGGACTGCATTTGGGGCTGCTGATACCACAGGGATTAAGGATGAGGGCTCTCCAGCCAGGACCCAGCATGAATGGGGGTGAAACTTCAAATATATGCAGGCAACTATTGGCACAAATATACTACAGGCAAAGAATTGGTTAGGAATTTTCAAAGTGGCCTAATGAAGATATGAAGCCTTTTAAAGGGTTGATGTCCCCCAAAATACACACAAGTAAGTTTAGTACTCATTCTCAAGAGACCCAGAGCCCTGGCAATGCTCTGCAAAGGAATGTTTTTAGCCTACTGGCAACATTATTTTGACAGAGCTCTATCTAAAGTGATGGAGGCTCACACCTTAAATTTCATATTTCTGATTCACATGGCCGTGGAGAAAGGAATATTTCAATAATTTTTGACAATTTATCTGTGCTTCCATTACTTTGATATTATTTTCTAAATGACATTTTTTAGAAAAAAAAAAAAAGAACAGTGATAATCAATTGACAACTTTTGCCAGTGAAAATACACATTTTAGAGGTCTCAGGTTGTCCTTTTCTTGTTGATTTCAGAGCCAAAATGGGTTTACAGAAAGACCTTTATTTAAGGAAGCCCACAGGAACTGCAAAAGTTACATTAATTGTTCTTTTCTAAGATCTGATGATAAGTAAACAGTTCTAGGGAAGTTAAATGGAGCATTGGAACAAACACTTTACAAAAACACAAGGTAACAGGTGGAATTTCTGCTTAGTCTTCTAAAGAATATTTCACATTGCTAAGCTTAAAGCCCTAAGGTTATCAGAGCCTCTTACAAAACAGAACTGATGTAACATATTCTCTATTGAAAACAAAGGGAGATCAAAGCAGGATGAGATTACAGCAGTGTGATTTGTATTTCAGTTCCATGAATATATTTGTGTGTATGTACATTTGCTCCTGTGCGTCCATAGTAACCACAGCCATAACCCAGAAAGTATGGTGTGGGGAGCTTTGCTCTGAAAATCAAGTAGACCATTAGGAGGCATAAATATTAATAGAGCTGTCTAATCCTACACTCTCAAATGAGGTAGTTCAGATCATGAGTCTTCGCATTTAAAATTTATTCACTGCCCTGACTAGAATAAGAAACAGAATCCACATGTGGGGAAGTCACTGATATTGGGCGGTCTCTGAGCCACTGATAATTCCTAAACATAAAAGTAAGGATCAAGTGATTTCTTTCCTTATTCTACACCTAAATCTCCTACAAATACTAATTTATCCAAAACTGCACCTGCCTGGCTCTGTGACATTGAGGATATACCACCTACACCTCCACATTTTCACATTGAGGCATCTTCAGGCAGTGTGAAATCTTTATACAGGTTCCTAAGAAAGAACATAATGTCATCCCAAGTGTAGAGCACACAACACCTGGGGGTTCTTTCAGTGGTCATATAAGTGATCCTTCCCAAATTTTCTTTGTGTAGTTGTCATTAAATTAGGATATTTATCCAGCTGCAATGCAAAGACATGAATGCAGAGTGTTAAAACACCACAGGTATGCAGTTAAAGCAGGAAGCACTTGCCCTGCTAAGAGATAAGGAAACATTCTGGATCACAAGTAAAATATTTGTGTCTTGACTATAAGGTAAATTAGAGATCTGAAATGCCAAACAGTAGAATACTATTCAGGAAATCCCTAGAAATTATACAAAGTTTTGTCAGGAAATTCAGGAAATGCCAGATAATATAATTAGTATCAATCAGTGAAATGGTATATACCACATACCTACAATATAACCAAGGTCTATTAAAATTTAGAGTTTTGAAAACTAGACTCAAAAAAACAAAACAAAATTCCTCAAATGCCTTTGCAGCGATTTTCCAAACCCAGCACTTGCAAACAAGTTTCTGCATACCCAAAACAGAATTAGCAGCCTCTGACCTTGATGTACCTGGAAGAAAAGACACAAAACCAGATGCTCTTTCTTTATTTTTGAATCAGTAAATTGAAGGTCAAGTAACTGAAATACAGGCCTCTATGTTTAGCAAAAAACGTGCTGAATTGTCTCATTTTTTTTCACCCAGCTTCAACCTATCATTCTGTAGTCTCTGCTGTGGGCACATCCAAATCCCAACAGGAGGTCATGGATATCATGTTCATTACAATCCATGACTCATGGATAGAACTCCTTTAATTTCTACATCTATCTTAATCAGATTGCTCCCTGTTCTTCAAACTTGTTCTTCAAATTTGGTCATGTCCCTCAGCTGACAATTAAGTATAAATACTAATTTATTTATCTAATTCAATCTATTTCATGTAGTGAGAAGGAATCAAACCATATGTAATGACAATATATGGTTGCTGATTCAGTCATTTTGATCTTATATATCCTTTATGAATTAAAAAGATGGTGTAAAAGTCTGCCTCTGATTTTCAGATTTTCTCCTTCCAATAATTTTCATCGCTAACTGTGATGCAATGACTGCAACCTAAAAATCCAGCAAAAGAGAGAACGTTGGGCCTTTCTTCTTTCTGACACAAAACTGATGCCTTTCCGAGCTGTGGTTGCTGCTCTGTTGCTGTGACTCTACTGCAACTTTGTCCTGCAGCTCGACTCCTTTTGCCCCTGGCTGTGGGGGCAATCCCAGCCCAGGATAAACACAGGGAAGTTACTCAGAGAGCAGAGATTACTTCAGATATCTCAGCAGCCCAGCTGAAGGTATTCAGCACTTGTCAACAGCAAAAGGTAGGCTTTTTATTGTGCTGTGAGATGAGTCTAAGTGGAAAGGTACCTACTGAATTTCAAATAACTCTCTTTATTCTCCTCCAGGCCCATAGGACAATAAGCATGACTTTCTCAGCTACTGGACTCTTCCTCCCTTGACTTTTGCTATTTTTCTGATTTTTTTATTATTTTTCTTTTAATACTCTCTCATATGAAAGATGCTCTCTGAGAACAATGATGGGGATCTGCATCTTTATTTATGACTTTGTGAATCAGCGTCTGGGTGATAGGAAGTGAAAGTTGCTCAGCTAATTACACACGCTTGATGAACTGCGTAATAACTGCTGCAGCACTGCACATTAATTGAATGCATATAAATGACAGCAGTTATTCCAACTTGAATGATGTGTGAAGAAGTGACGTTGCTCACAGTACCCTGATTATCTTCATTTCCAGCTTTGGGAATCCAGCTTAAACAATTGTACTTTTACAGCACCGAGAAAAAATTCCCTAACAGAAAACAGAAGATGTCTCAAAGCCTGACACTTTAAACACAAATTGCTTTAAGTCACTGAAAGTGGATTTAGACATCTAAAAAAAGCATACATCGAGCAACTACAATTAACAATTAATAATTAACAACTAGCTGCAACCAGCAGTTAGGAGCTGTAAGAGCTAAAGCCTTGGGAACAAGGCCACCTTCATTTTGAGCCTAGATACTGCCTTAAAAACCTAATGCAGTGTTCAAAGAGTTCAATTTTGCCCAGCTCCAAACATTTCTGCTATGCACTTTCCTAAAATGTATTTGTTTTGGAATAACAGGATAAAAAAATATGGATTACAGCTAAAAGGCAACTGTGCATGCCCACAGTACTCTTTGTTTACCCCAAAAAGCATTCAAATTCACATGCAGGTCCGGCTCTAAGGTAACACATTATTTAAATAAAACAATAAAGAAAAAATATTTGATGCAAAAGAAACGTGCATAGTACAAAATTAGTACTTCAAAACTAGCACCAAATGCCTCCTTTGAATCAGCACCAAAATAGACCTTCTCTGTTGCATGTCAACTGCTTGAGGAATTTGCAAATATTCACAAAGAAATCTGCAAAGTCTTCCATACTATTTAACACAGAAAGGGGAGAAGCCAAGTTTCCAAAGCTTCCAAAAGCAGTCTAGTTCCCAAAGTACCATGTCACAATATTTTAACAGTTCCCTACACCCGTATTAAGAGTTTGTGGGCTTGACAAAGAGAGCTGTAATCACAGAATAAAGGAAATCAACGCTCACTTTTAGAAGCGCGTAAACAAAACAGCAAAAAAAACCCGTTTCACATCAACACTTCAGGAAAGTGAACCCTGTTCCAAGGAAACAGGGAGAAAGACAGTGCAGGTCTCAGCCCTGCACTGCTGTAATGCTTCCCAGCCCTTATGCCATCATTGTGGGAGGGAGAGCTGTGGGCTGTGCCACCCCTCCAGTGGGAGCAGCGCCCATCCCGGAGCACAGAGCTCCCTCTGCACCCACACACCACATCCTGTCCCCTGGTGCCACCGACACACACTGCCCAGAACCTCCAGGCCAAGAGAGAAGCTGCCAACACTGCCCCTGGAGAGAGTGCCAGAGAGAGATGATCAGGTGCAACCGAGTCCCGGCTTTACAAAAGTTATCTTCTCATCTACTCTCTTTAAACACCTCTCCACCAGCACAAGACGGTCCCTAACACTTCACAGCACCAGCAATCAGCCTCTTTCACCTGTATTATTCGCTTTCCTTTTGCAAGGTTTCCATCTCTCCCCCGTTTGGTATTTTTTACTTTTTGTTTTGGTTTGGTTTTTTGACCACTTTATACATACCTCCTTTTCTACAAATTTTCTTGCCGGGTTTTCTGGCACATTCCTTGGATATTCTTTTGACTGAAAAATGAATAGAAGACTAGAAAATAACATGGAGCTCCGTCACAGACAGTAGGAGCATGCAACACCACTATCTAACTTAAATATGACCTGCTTTATTAGGTGCGGAAGATTCTCAACTTGTTGTGCCTGCACATGCAATGGAAAAGATGTTGATGCATCTTCCCAGAAGTCAGTGGGTGGCAATGAGAATTAGGCACCAACTTTGACCTAAAAATTACACGTGCTGTGGGAGAAAAGAAATGAGCGTAGACAGAAAAAGAGAAAATCAAAATCAAAAAGCAAGGACAAATGCACACAGAGAAAAGCGGCATGCACACATGTAATAAGCCGGCGTGCAAACAGAGAAAGCCATGCGTGCTACCAGTACATGTGAATTAATATTGTTAGAAAGTAGAACAGGAAAATAAAAAGATCTCCCTGTTTCGCCTGCTATTAACTCACCATCCTCGGTTGGGACATAGATATTTAAATAGAGGCAGTCTTCGTTCTGGTCCTGTACATAGGTTGAAACTACATCCAAGTTATTAGTAAACCACACGGGAAGCATGACTTCAGGCAACCTGCCTTCTATAATGTTCTGGGGACACACTGGAGCAAACTGGGTGGTGTTTTTGATATCTGCCCAGGGAGATGGAGGCTCAGGAGGTTGAAAGCGGCGCTCCCCTGTTGGAGGGGCAGCGTACGGAACCCCGAGAAACTGAATAACGGGCCCCAAAATTTCATTATTAAGTTCCTTCTTAATCCCTCTTATCTTGCCAAAGTTGGTGGTCACGACTGGGTTGGTATCATCCAATTTTTGGGAGGACACGGCTGCAGCGTGAAGCAAAAATCCAAGCATAGAAAAAGCAAAAGTGGCGTTCAATCCCGTGTGCAGCAGGCGGACCACCGTCGCTCTCCAAACACAGTTCAGCCACACGGATCTTGGAAAGGCCATGGTCCCACATTAGTTGTGTATCTACAGTGAAGCAATCTGATTTGTATCCACTGGTGTAAAAACAGGGCGACCGGAGGAAACAGATCAAGTTTCCTAAATAGGTGCCTGTCAGAAAAATCTCAAAAGGCTTTTCATGCGGTAAGTATCTTCCATTGATTTCACACTTATTGAAGCTGCATCTTCACTCAGCACTATTTATCAGACTACATCCTATTGACAATTCTGTTTTCCATAGCAGCAATATGAAGAGAGCAGCCATTTACTGCAGAATCCCCTCTTATAAATCAAATCCAGTTAGCCGCAGGTCTATATCCTGGAGAAAATGAAAATAAATCATTAGTATGAAAGAGCTAATATGAGCAGAGTGATAACTAGGTGTTTAACACGTTATTTACATACATTAATATTTGCTAGAGCCATGTAAGTTAAACTGCAGGAGTTTATGGGTCCATGAAATGGCAGGTGAAACACTGATTACTGGAATTATCTGTAATGTCACCTGTTGAATATATAGAGACTTCTCAGGAGAAACAGGACTCACAGAAAATACATTTTTTTAAATTCACTTTTTCAAGAATAAGGTATTTACTACCGAGCTACATTACATAAGTGTTTATGTTAATATTTTATTTAACTTAATCAGCTCATAATCAATTTTCACCTTGTTTGCAGAAGTTGATTTATTAGAAAGGAAGTAATTATTTCTTAAAGCAGAAGATGAGGAAATTAAGATAGGCAAGCATACTGAAGACCCAAATGCATTTAATTTCATTAAAAGCAGTTTACAACACATACAAACATTTTTTTGTTCGTTTTAAAATATAACATGAATTACTGAGCTTACTCACAATAACTTGAATTACCATGCTTTATGTGGTTTTCTGATAGTTGATGAAAAACACAGACTGAAATGTTCACATCAGTGAAGGACCAAAGTCTGCTTCTGCTGAGGTGAATGGTAAACTGAGTTATCACAGAGGTACAACTGGACCTCTGTAGGCTGCTGGGGTTTTTTTCAGAACTGGTTTGGAAAAGGACATGAACAGGCAGCTTAGGGAGGGAGCTGTATATCACAATTTTGGTGTCAGATCAATCCTGCATTCCTTATAAAAGATTGACTTCAGCGAAAAATGAAAATGCGTGTTGAGAGCACTCAATTCCTACCATCCTTAATTTATAACATAAACAATAAGCATTCCCACAGGACCGGAGAAATCTTATCTTTCATATATCCACATGCTGACTGAACAATATCCTAGAAAAAATAATCAGTTAGGATCAGAGACTGTATAATCTGAAATTCCAGATGCTATTTTCAACTACTGTAGCTCAGAGGTTGTCACACAAGGCTGTGTTCCAGCACTTCTGAAAATTGCTCAATGCATATCGTTATATCTTCCATATTCATGTGAAACATATTTCCAACACGACTTACAATATCCCATTATTTAACATGCAGTGTTATACACAACATAGCAGTGTAATCTTACACTCCCTATTAAGCAGTGTGTAATGCACAAGAAATGTGTTTTGCATTGTATAGGAAACATTTTAAACCACCTGCTTTTGAAACAGCATTGGCAGCTTTAATGAGAATTGCTTTTTTTATCATGTCTATACACATTGTGGAGAGAATTCAAAAGAACGGCTTGTCTAATAGTCAGACTACCCTGTAGTTTGGGTTATTAAAAAGGAGATTGTAAAAGCTATATAGGACAGCAGGAGATTTGGTTCATGTCTAGTGTTCCTTTAGCTCTGAACAATCTATCTCAGGAGGCAATAAGGAGATAGATGAAGCTTTTCCGCAATTTTCTCTTTCCCTTTCTTTCTCTGCTAATTCTAACACCTTCACTGTGAAACTGCAACAAACAGGCTTACGTCCTTCATTCTCCAGCTGCATATTCTCCATATTCACTGGAAATGCACCAATTTAGCTGCAGAAAATAACTCCCCAAACTTGATGTATGTGTTTACATTTACTTTAACACACTTACATGGAATGGCAGACATCCCCCTTATGGAGGATTTCTGCTTTGTAGCATTTCAGATTTTGGAGGGAGCAGAGTACTGCTTGAGAAATAGTAAAGATTATTTCTGCTTTTTAGTGGGCAGACAGGTTCCTGAGCAATGTACATGGAGAGATGGAAGCCTGTTCCTTAGTGGCATTCAAAATCCTCCACAGCCTTTTCCACTGGGTCTTAAAACCCACAAGGATTTGTTTTCCTCTCGGGAATGGAAACATGTACTTTCTCTTCTTTCTCAAACTCAAACTTGTAAATAGCAGGAGTTTAATCTCAGAAGCTTTCCAGCTAATTTACACGGTCTGGGGAAGGTCTCAGTTCAACAAATCCAACATAGCTGTGCCAAGGAAAAGCATCCTTCTTCATTTCAAGGTGCTAGGTTGGTTTGATGTGCAAAATTACCAAGATGCCACTAATAATTTATTTAGCACCTGTTTTCAGTTCTAAAGAAACTGAAATTGTAATACAATTTTTATACCTCAAATGGTAAATTCAATGTAGACTCAAAGCCAGTTCTAGAGCTGGGCTGTAATTCCAAGCTCGTCCATCTGCTGGTTTGTCTTTGCAGCTGAACAGTTCTGCTGTGATCTCCAGTTCTGGTTTGCCTCCCATGGACGAGGCTTTACTCTGAGACAGGATGCCAAAAAGGTAAGAATATCATTCAGTTCTGTCTTTGCTATTCCTAATTAATTAACTACTGGGCAGCAGCCTCAATGAATAGATGGATAGGCTATAAAGGGCAGCAAATTGTCAAGTGCTTGCAGGATTTGAATCAACATATTTTCATTGTATTTATAACTTGAATTTTGGACTTGCTCTTTTCAAGCCTCTCTTTTTAAATGTCTAAGTAACAGTTTATTTTTGAGACTGAGAGGTCAGACATTCAAGCCTGTCATTGGCTGCCCTGAAGCTATCACATCAAAACCACAAACTCAACGCAAATAAAAAGACTGAGATTTATGAAATCTTTTGAGACTTTCACAAGAAAATTTCATTTTGAGCACTAGGTGCAAGGGCAAGCAGGGAAGCTGGCCAGGGAAACACACTGAGAGTTAATGCTGGAAAAAGTTCTCCCCAGTCTCTCTGCAGATGATCTACACTGGACTTTCCCTTGGTATCTGGATTCAGCTGCAGACAAATCAGTGGGAAAATAAAGGAGAGGGAATAAACAGGAATGATCAGGGAGACAAGCAGGTGAATAAACCAAAGAGTAGCACTGATAAATCTGGGACAAGGTTTAGCATCAAAATAATGTGGATATGAGGAGAAGGAGGAGAAACCTTCTCAGATTTTACTGCTGTCTTGATTTGAGGATCACAATTGCTCCCCGTGGTAACACAAATGAATTCTACTGTAAAAGGTATTTGATAAAGTCTTTCATGCTCTTTCGAACAGTCTATACTATACAGAGGTTTTTTTCTATCATCTATTATTTTATTATCTTCCTTTCTGAATTCAAATTACTTTATAGCTCAGATTCTGAAATGCTTTAGAGAAGCATTTAGTATGCTGGGGAGTGAACAATCCAAGAGAGCTTCGGTGCATCTTTGCATTTCCAATGACACAGGGCATCCCTCAACAGGTCACATCTGCTGCAAACTGCAGCAGCAAAACTCCTCGTTGCTACTCATGCCCAGACCTTCAAATCTTAAGGGATGGTTTGATCTGTAGCACCTATCAATAGCTCCAATGCATTAATAAAACCTTTGCTAGCACCCAAGGTTTCTGGCCATATGCCAGCTTTAGCACATGTAAAAGCTGTTGTTGTTACAATAAAGACCTCCCAACCCCCCCAAAAAAAGCTGTTTTCATTTCAGCTGAAGGTGTATTCTGGGATTTGATATTCCTGCTCAAAAATTCCTTTCCACTTCAACTTTGCTAGTAAACCCCAGTTGCACAAATATTCAAAGAGATTGGAACACCACACAACGCCACTTCATTTCAAAACACAAAGTGCTGTTTTGCAGAACCAGCTACATTTGCATCCATTTTTTCTTACAGCAGTCTCTCCTTAGAGTTAAGAGCCCAGAGATGTTTCATGTCTCTAAGAAGAAATCTGTGTTCTAAAACACGCCATGAAGCCAAGCAGGAACATGGATAGTGGTACACAGGCCATTAGAGGAAAGATGAGGGTGAACACTGTGTCAGTGTGACACACCAATTGTAAACATGACCAGACAAATCCTCAAGAGATGCAGCACAAAATTCCCCCTCTCTTCTTTCATGTTTCAAGTTAGCAAGGGAAGCAAGTTCCAAACACACTGTATTTTTTTCTCAACTTAGTGGTAAAAAAAGGCCAGGTTGATGGAACTCTGAGCAGCCTGGAGGGAAAAGTGTCCCTACCAAAACCTAAATGACCTTCAGAGGCCCCTTCCAACCCAATCCATTCTGTGGAATATTTTAAAACTGACACTGCTCTTGCATACTTCCCAAAATACTTTCTCAAAACGATGGGCTTTGCATGGGTTTAGTCAAAGAAATTAACATTCATTTAAAAAATAAGGTGTATAAATGATAATGGAAGAGACTGCAATCCTGAATACATAATACACATAACAGTGCTACAGCCCTGGTGGGGTTTGGTCACATCCCACATGCCAGCACCCCCTCCAACTCAGAGCAGCCACAGGTCTGGTAGCTCCAGAAAGCTGCTACAAATCCAGCCCTATTGAGATGCAGAACCTTTGCCAAGATGACCAACAAAGGTATGAATAAGACATCATCCTTATGGGCTCACAGTCCCACCCCGTATTAGGATGAGATTATAAGTGTTATGTTACACGGGAGCACAAACAACCCAGTGGAAAGGATTTCCAGATGCTACAAGCTGTGTAAATATATCACTCCCAGATCAGAGAAACATTCCTGAGTGCCCTCACCTCGATGTAATATGGTGTTTTGACTACTAAATCTCATAATCAGTTAGTGAAAAATACAGTATTTAAATATTGTAGTATAAATCATTGGATGCAGCACTTC